TTCCTAAATATTTCCGAAACCTCTCATTAATGAATCCCAATCAGGTAGATCGCATGATGCTAATACTGAATCAGAAGTAGAGCTCAGAATTACAAAATCGTATTCAGGGACGTAGATAACGTACTGGATGAGTTAACTACTACTAGAAGTCCGACCACGATAACTTTGGGACAGCACGTGGTCGCGTATGCATTGAATATGCATATGCGTTGTGTCACATGCTGTACTAATTTGGCGACGTACTCTGATACAATACTGGCAACACTGTAGGTGACTTTGTACCTGTTCCCTTAGTACAGCCACAAATATTATTCAGCGACATCTGTTGAAGAGGTTCCCTATTGATTGCATTCTAAATCGATAGGTCAAGTTGTTTTTGAACAAATCCTCGAATTAAATTAATCGCAAATTTTTGATGCTTCGACACCAAAGACGGTTTTTTTTCTTAATGTTCCATATCCGCTCACCATTCACAATCAAAAATATCGAGATTTGGTGCACTGGATACTTTTTATGCCAAACCAGATTCTTAGCAGAAAATTTCAATTTTCTCATCATACGTGTATTTCATATATACTGAAGGGGTTAGGTTAGGTATAACCTCAGTTTTTGATAGCTCGTAAGGAGGTTTATAATGGGTATCCATGTGATAAATTGCAATTTTCTCGAAAAAAAAAATAGTCCTATTCAAACTAGGAATAACTTCATGTCAAAAATTTTCAAGAATCTAATAAATCGAAAAGCAAAATGATAAAAATAAATAGTCATTAGAAAATAAGTTTTTTGACCCGTAATAACTTCAGTATGATACGTCTCTGCAGACGAAAATTCTGGAATTTTGAGCTCAGTATCTTATCTGACGTTGAAAGTTCATGCAGTATACCAAATTTCAATATTTCAGTGTAAGCGGTTTCGGCAATATTCAAGAAAACCCCTCTTCAGGGTACCGATGCATTGATGCAGAATATTGTGATTTTCTCGAAAACTACTAGTCCTATATTGATATAAACTGAACATACATTATCACGTAACACACCTTCAAGTATCATATTATGCCATCGAAATTTTAAAATTCTTAGTTGAATTTTGATTCAACATCAGATGAATCAAATTTCATGATTTTTGGATGAACTGTTTTGAAAATAGTGGGGAGAAATCGTTTCAGGTTGCCCTATTTTATTAAGGGGCTAATTGTGTGATGTCCCAAAATAATGAATAATGAAAAATCAATTGTATTAGCAGAAAGGCTAGAACAGAAGTTGTTTCACTTGGAGTGTTTAATAGTAAATAAGAATAATTGGAGATGTTCAATTGAAGATGAATCCAAATTTCATTTATATTGGTTCATAATTGATTAAATGTTGTAGAGGTTCGAATAACGCATCTTTTGTCTAATTTAATCAATTTTCTACGTTAAGGAAATAGCAATACTCTCCCTAATGAATTGGCGGAATCCGGATGTATATAACATATCAATATCTCTCTCATACAGGGGTGATTCGTTTTTCAGAAATAACTACTCCAGTAACTCATTCGAAAACTAAATTCCCATGTGGACGTTATAGAGTCACTAGGATTTCAGAAGCCATTCTAAGTGGCGTGTTGGATCCTTTTTTTGTTCAATAATCGATATGAAATCTCTCGTTAATTTGAAATTCAATATTTTGGGCATATTTGTCAGAATAAAACATATTGCTGTGTTGAAAATATTATTTATCTATTTCAATAAAACCCTGTATATAATGGCAGCAAAGGTTCATCCCCTTATAGGTCTTTTTATTCTCAATGTGTCGGGCATCGCATTTCACACGCGAGAGTAAATGAATACCTTTGCTCCCTTGACAGATAATACCTATTTATATATCGAGGAAGGAAAGGTATCCATTTCCTCCCTCGTGTGAAGTTTGCACGACGCCTAGCGAAGGGCATTAAACACACATGGGAGGTAATGAAACTTTGCTTCCAAGATATACAGCGTGTCTCACTTTAAACGGCCCTCCCTCTATATCTCATCAGCTATCAGTCGTGCGATCTTCACCAAATTTGTATCGGTATGAATAATCATCAATATGACCAGTTCTTCAAAGACAAACATCAATTTAGACAGTGACGTGCATTTTTATTGAAACGAATAGTGGAGTGATGAAAGTTTGGAAATCAGAATCTTGCAATGTTCTTTCCAATCTAAATGTGAGTCAATGATTACTCCTAAGAAATTACAGCTGTTATTTATAGGTAAGGGTGTGTTATTTAAATTTTTATCTACATCTATCAATTCCTGATGACTATGAAATTTTATGAGGTTAGTTTTGTCTGAATTGAAATAGAGGGTGATTTGATTGAACCAGGAAGTCAGTTGGACTAGAGAAGTGTCATCTGCATAAATTGTCATCTTAATATCAGGAAATGAGTTTGCGATTTCATTGATGTATAAAATAAAAAGAACTGGGCCCAACACAGATCCTTGGGGAATACCTATATCAAGTTCGGTATTAGCAGATGTAATATTCCGAATTATATTATTTTGTTGATGTTTCAAACTCACATATTGAGACCGACATCTAATAAATGATTCTAACCATTCCAGACAGACACCTCTAATTCCATAGTTATACAACTTTGATGAAATTTGTTAAAATTACATCGCCCAGTATATTTCACAGTTCATCGAAATCGACTTCAGATATGAAAGGTAAGTCTGCCTCTTTCGTGGTAACTTCAGGAGTCCCTCAGGGCTCACATCTGGGCCCTTTACTGTTTTCAGTGTTTATTAATGATCTGAACAGCTGTTTCAAAAATTCACAGATACTGTTATATGCTGACGATTTGAAGATATTTAGAAAAGTGCTGACAATTAGGGACTGCTCAAAGATTCAAGAAGATCTAAATAGGTTCACTGAATATTGTAACCGTAACAAAATGAAACTCAATGTCAGCAAATGTGCGAGTATATCTTTCAGTAAAAACATTGTCCCTATAGAATTCCAATATCTACTGAATGATAGTATAGTCAAAAGAACGGACCGAATCAAGGATCTTGGTGTATACTTCGATACAAAAATGACTTTCAACCCACATTTTGAGTACCTACTTAATTCTTGCAATAGAGCTTTGGGATTTTTTTGCAGAACATGCAAGAACTTTGATAATGAGGCAGCCATCAAATCTGTTTATTCTGCTTTTGTTCACAGCAAACTAAATTTCGCCAGTGTAGTATGGAACCCACATTATAATGTTTATAAATTACGATTAGAAAGACTCCAGAATAGATTTGTAAGGTTTCTCCACTTCAAAATAACGAAGGTTTACATAACTGTTGGCATCAGTGAAATGCGTTCTCTTTATAAAATACAGCTTCTCGAACAACGACGAATAATTACGGATTTACTCTTTATGTACAAAATCATGAAAAATTGTTACGATTCTCCTAATTTAGTGTCTATGATTTTTTATCATGTTCCTCAAAGATATACTAGAAATAGACAATCACTTACTAGTCCTAGTTACAACACAAATTTGGGAAAAAATTCTCCAATCACCAGAATGTGTTACGGTTTCAACAAATATTGTAATAATTTAGATATATTCTCCATGACATTTAATTCTTTCAAAATAACTGAAGACATATTTTCAATTCTTAATTTATAATGAATACAATTCAGTTTATTCCTGTACCTCTCAGACTACCGAAAGATCTATTATTATTGTAACTATTAGTGGATGCTTGTATGGGTTTCACCTGTTTGTATCCCAAACTTGAAATAAATAAATAAATAAATAAATAAATGATATATTGTGAATTATTATGTGGCATTTCAATACGACTTATTCAAGAACCTACTTGTGATCAAGATAGGTTAATTGATTATCAGAGACCACCTCGTTTACAATGCTACGAAGGCGCTGAAGGGCCACCTATACTTTTTTTTTTGAATCCCGACTTTAAAGTCGGGGGTCCGAGATTAAAGTCGGGGGTCCGAGATTAAAGTCGGGGGTCCGAGATTAAAGTCGGGGGTCCGAGATTAAAGTCGGGGGTCCGAGATTAAAGTCGGGGGTCCAACTTTAAAGTCGGGGGTCCGAGATTAAAGTCGGGGGTCCGACTTTAATCTCGGACTTCATGGATAAGTCTGAAACGGGTGTTCTCAGACCCATTCTATCATAAATATCATTGAATTCGTCTTTCTTAGCTCTATCCAAGAATGAAATTAAATACATTCGAAAATTCCGAAAAAATGATCGGTTTGCAAAATACGTCATCACTTTTGTTTAATTCGAATATCCTTAATATTGACAAAATATCAATATAACATATAATATAATTAGTTAATTCATAATGAAAACTGCGCATTGAAAACTTGATTCTCAACGTTTTCATAAGGCTTTGAAATTTGGCTATTTATTGAAGAAGATTATGAAAATAGTTCGGAAGGGTTAACTCATACCTACAAATGTAATCATATATCATTGAACTCATCTTTCTGAGCTCTACCCAAGGACGGAATGACATTCAGAGTAGTTCATTTGTGAAAATATATGTTTTGTATTGTAATCTTTTTGCACCCTTTGAACAAACAAATGAGATTCTTAGCTATTAAGTGGAATATGAACAATCACCCTATACGTACGATAATGATCGTACAGGTGTGATCCATTATTTGACATTCAGTGTACATCCAAAAAGGAGGATTTTGACTGATCCTTATGTGATGATTATCCAATGGGTGTAAAATTATTGTTTGTACATAAATGTACAGGGTGTTTCTCGAGTACATGTAGAAAATTCAGGAGCATGTTGCTGACGTCAAACTGATGAGTAACAATGGAAATTATTTATTTCTGTCCACATATTTAACGAATATAATCTAGCTCCTAACTTCAGTTTCGGACTCTCGACTTTAATCTCGGACCCCCGACTTTAAAGTCGGGATTCAAAAAAAAAGTATAGGTGGCCCTTCAGCGCCTTCGTACAATGCATTGAGTAGATAACTATCTATTCTCACCTTCGTGTGCGTGTGCTAGAGCGTCTAAAATATAAATGAAATCACAGAGGTAATCCAACGTCCACCAGAGCGGCTGGATCCCAGTCTTATTGTTCAGCTCCCAGAAAACCGCTCTACCCAAGACGAAGATGACGTTGTACAGGACGGCCAGCGAAACCACCATCAACCACTGCGAATAATAACAAACTATCAGGGCGACAATTTTGTTCATACTGATTTTTTAGACGACTAGATCGACTAATCACTGTGGAAAACAATGGAAATGTTGATTTTGCCTTGAACAGAAATGGAATTGGTTCAATACACTGATGACGAGGAATTCGATTAGGAATAGGGAATAGGAGGAATGCAAGTAAATGATCCGAATATATCACAGTTGGTTTTCCCGATTCTTTCGAATTCTAACTGTTTGCCTAATTGTTATGGTTAATTTGGATGCGGTTTGTTATCATCGTGATATTGTCATGCTGGTAGGTTTTTCGATTTTTTTCTCCATTATTACTGTACCTATATGTATACTAATGGTATAAACAAATTTCGACGAGAAGGCAGGATCGATTTCCTTCAATATACCGGCCGAAAATGTGAAGAGCTAGATATACCCAATTTTACATTCAGTATGTGAATATACAGGGTATGTCACGCGACGAGCTTACACATCTCTGTATCGAGAATCAGTCCGGAGGAATCCATGAAAATATGCATGCTCATATTTTAGAATACGTTCACTTCATTCAGAATATTTTCAGCAATTCAGTGTTGCCGCTTCTATCAAAAAGTTGCAACAACTTTGTAATTTCGAATAAAATACTACTATTTTGATATCATAACCATTAACGTCAGCCACTTTAGAAAATTTGAACTTGCCATTTTCTGCTGAAAACAGTGATTGAAGTCATTAGGTATATATCTAACTGTGTTAGTTTATTCTCTGAACACATCTAATTCTAAGTTGTTTTCGCTATTTCTAATTTTTCAAATACGACATGTTAGATGAATCGTTTGTAGCCGAACATATGTTCAATCACAATCATAACACACATATTACTTACCTCAAATTAGTTAAGTAAGTTAATAATATTAGAAAATTAGACTCATACGAGGACGCATATGAGAGCTTAGAGATATTTAAGAATAGTAATAGAGTAATGAAAAAGAATAATGGACCTGAAAAAACAAGATTAACATGTGAGCTCAACCATCACAAACATTTAACTTGACGGTTAGTATTTTTCACGGTTGGGTGAACATATACCTAGTATATCAGCAGTACACTAGAATAGGATATTTAGTTTTGATCTTCTACTGAAGATGAACATAGTTAGCGAAACACGTGTCGAGGCGTTTACAAAATCGGTTTGATTAGTGGTAAAAGCAGTGTGGTGTACTATCGTGCCAAAGGTTCCAGTCTTCGATATATGAAATATCTGGATGAATCAGTGGCGTAACTACTATACCGCGAAACCCTGCGGTTGCGGGGGGGGCCGTTCCTCGGAGAGGGCCCTGGGGCTCTTGGTCCACTAACGAGAGCAAGCCAAATTGGTTGATACATGAATATTTTCAATCATTAATGTGCCACAGGATTAATTTTTCAATTTTTGCGAATAGTGCAGGCATGTTATTTTCAGTGTACGTCCAGGGTGATGTGTGAAATCAACGAAACAAGCCAATTTGAATGGCTAACTTGAATAAAACTAATGGTGCTTCAAAAAGAAGGAGGAAAAAAAAGTTAAAAGATGAGAATTGTGAAATTTCCAAGATTACCAGGTTCTTTACAGTAGCAGTATGATGATTGAAACAGGAATGGATGTTGACTCTGCAATTATTATGGTAGAGAAACTATTATTCCAGATTTCTTGGAATTTTCTCTCCTCGTTCCTATACAACAACAATATAAACATTATTTCAATTTCAACTTGTCAGTGACAATTTCTATCGAAAAAAGTTTGGAGGAGAGAAATAAAGGTATGAAGGAAAAATATCAGATTTTCACTTAGCAAATGACGAGACTTTTGCTACTACTGCATTCGAAACTGGAGGTACAGATGGTGTGAATCATATCTGAAATCCACGAGGAGCCTATACCTGACTTGAATGCGAGAACTCCTGGAGATGGAACTGAGTCAGATGATTCATTACTGGATGTATTAATTAAGGAATCCTTTTCATGTGATAAAGGCAACCCAAATAAAATGAAACGTATTGTGAAGCTTGTTGGCTATTCAATAAAACTAATAGTTCATGGAAAGAAGCCACTTCTGACTGAAAAGGTTTGTCTAGAGGAGGGCCAAAATGATTTTGGCGGGGGGCCCAAAATATGAAGTTACGCCACTGGGATGAATAGAGGTTTATTGTTATCATGTTTTTATTATGAAACTCGTATTCTTCAGACGAAAATACGTAAGTAACAAATAATCGAGAAAAAACCCAATACTCCCATTTCCCTGGTTCTACTTACGATATAGTAACTTGGCAATGCCGGATCCACCACCACTCTTCGCCCCCAGCACGCGGGCGCCCCCTGCGCCCTCCTCTCTCCTCCCTCTTCCTGGTTGCTCCTGTCGACGAACCAGTCGGGCGTCTGCGGCGGCTCCTTCTTGGACAGCCGGCGGAATCGGATGGCGGCGCGCAGCGAGGCGACCACCTGGCCGAGCCGACCGCGCACGGTCGAGAGCAGGCGGGTGGGGCTCGGGTGGTCGGCATCCTGGAAAAGAAGAAGAAGACGGTTTCAGTTTGGAGACCTGCATAGTGTTGCCATCTAGACAAGACAAGACAAGAGTTTACCTACTCTTGTCTTGTCTTGAAATTTCAAGACAAGAGTTGTATACGCGTAAGTCTTGATTAAATAAGCTAAGTGCGGTCTTGTCTAGATAACGAAATTCTAGATTATTATTCAAGACTCTAGATAAGACGCTTAGCTTAAATTGCGTAGAAACAGTCAAGTGCATGCAAACTCCCGCTCTCTGGGAACCAATCAAAACAAACCATTGCCGCGCCAGCGAAACGACGTATTTGTAATATAGATTTGAAAATAATCAAGAGTTTTGAATAAAAGTCTTGTATGGAAAATGAAAAGTCTTGTCTTGTCTAGATAATCTAGACAAGACATATTGATGATCTTGTCTTGATATTCTAGACAAGACAAGACAAGAGTCTAGAATGTATAAGTCTAGACGACAACACTACCTGCAGGAGCGGGACTCTCAAAAGCGTTTTTGCTTTTGATTCTGAAACTTCAGTAAAATTTTCGAAAAAATATTGAAAAATAAACTCTCTAGTTACATATCTAAGTATGGACTATTATCTGACATGCAATTTGGCTTCAAAGAAGGAAACGCATGATCCCATAATTGAACTGACTAATTACGATTATGGAGTCTTAGATGAGAGTAATCCCTGTCTTGCTGTGTACGTAAATCTAGCAAAAGCGTTCGACACAGTTAGCCACACTTTATCACTGTCGACGCTAGAAAATATTGGATTACGTGGTAATTTTCTCAAATTATTCAGAAGCTATCTTGAAAATCGCCAACAATGTGTCAAAGTAAATGAAGCCCTTAGTGAGGGACTGTACTGGGACCAATGCTCTTCTCGATCTATGTGAATGACTTATTCTTGATAAACAGTAAGGGAAACATTATCAGTTTTGCAGATGATACTGCTATTTTCTATGAAGGTAATATCTGGGCGGAATTAAAAAATGATGTAGAAGCAGATTTCTCCATGATTCAAGAGTTTTAAATAGATTGCTCACCATAAATATAGAGAAAACTTTCCTCTTGAAATTTTTCATTTATGAAAATACATTGCCAAATTTTAGCCATCTGTCACTATCCAATAACCTACAAATCACTTCTGTTGAAAACATTAAATATTTAGGAATAATGATAGCATTTGCGGTGGGACCATCATGTAAACTTTATCCTGAAGAAGCTACGTTTCGTACTATATATATTTCGTAGAAAAGTTGGCGATCTGGCTCTATTTTATAGATATTTTCATGGATGATGCTCTTCTGAATTATCAACAATTGTTCCTCCCTTGGTCCCCGCGAGATTAACCCGGCGAGTTGCGGCTTAGCACCCCTTCGTGGTCACTTTGGAGACCTGCAGATCATCTCATTCCAAAGACTCGCAAATTTTGAATTTGCGAGGCGGAGCGTCAAACAAAGTGTCACTTTTGATTCTAATAAAACAATCTGCTATTTGAATGTTTCCATCCATACTAGGACGTGAAAAAAGCACTAAAATATGTTAATTTCAAAACACGCTTCTTATCCTTCAGCTGACCAATGTCACTGCAACACTGCAGAATGGCAAGGTATCAGAGCAGGGCCTACTGTAATAGAGTAGGCCCTGATCAGAGAGATGTAGCTACAGTTTGGGACTTTTACGTCACGGGCACCACCTTTATATCGGGCTTTTTAAAATATTAAATGAAATATGCTGAGTTCAAAATGCATAGATTCGATTCCCTTCTTCAACTTATAATATCGATTGTACATTGAATGTAAATCATGATCGATCGAATGAAAGAGGTTTGGACGGATTACATCTCTCAGTGGTCTTCCCCAATAGGTGAGATGCATAAATACCCTGGCTAACACTAGCCAACTCCACACTGCATAGCTGATTGTGTTGATGAGTTTGTAAGTACTATGATACAATGTATTCAGGAGAAAATGAAAAATGAAAACTTTAAAGTTATTGCCACGCCTGAGACCCGAGTTCAATTCCTGCAGAGGTAAACTTTTTTTTATCAAAAATGTTTTCGAAGAATGTACTCAGGTTCATTTAGGCCGAGTGAGGTTAGATTATTCAGAGAAAGTGTTCTTTCCTATACACAAAGGTATTTTCCAAAAAATATTCTTTCTAGAAAGAAGCTCCGCGTTTGGGCCGAATTAGGATAGATTGTATAGAAAAAGTAGTCTCACTTGATCTCTCAAGTATTTTTTTCATCTTTGAAAATGCTTATCTTCAGAGTTTTCGAAATCGGATCTTTCATATTCTCATCAGGACTAGTTATATATGAAGATGATCATCAAAAGCTTTGCATACCATCAAATAACTGAACTAGGAGTTTTCAAGGTACAAGGACTACTCCATTAAATCTATTAGAATAATTATTGCAAAAAAAATCTAGTCGTTGAATGAATGTCTGACAGACAACTTTCTTAAAATACATATTATACAGGGTGTCCCATAAGTCATTAATCGAAAGACGTGGAGTGATAGGGTTTTTTTTTTTTTTTTTTCGCCGAGGTGGTTGAAATCTTTTATAGACATCATATGGGTCCAATCCCCCATATGATAGTGTGGGAGTCCCCTCCATGGTATACCCACTAAACACTCCACCCCGTTGTAGGCTCCGACGACACTTAGGCCTAGTGGCCCATTGTATCTCACCTACATGCCGTTATCAATTTTACCACATACGACTCATGGTGCCTGTTAAGGGACACTTCAATATGAAAGACCCTTTTCGTTCAGGTTCCTGAAGATTGCTCTTCCGCTCCCTGTTCTCGTCTACGAAGAAGGCCAAAAGTTTTCCTTCTCCTACGAGTGACGGGGGAAGGGGTTGGTCCAGCCCTGTGGTGCCCCCTGCACAGGGCTAAGGCTGTTTACTCTGGGATGTCGCCCTGTTTCCCAGAGGCCCCGTTAGCGACACCATTCCTCGGTGCCATCCATCCATCGCCACGGGTTCCCACAGCTTGGATTAGGGGAGTGATAGGGTGGATCATTTCCAATCAAATTAACCGTATAATATGTGGTTATCCAATTGTTGATGGTTGAAAAATTATTCAAATATTTTCTTTCCTCCCTGAAATCATGTAGTTTGTTTATTAAAAATTGATTACAATAGAACTTTAGGCAATAACTTCTTTCAGCCATCAAACATTTTATGCCGTGACAGTTGATCTTTTTATTGTAGATTCGTTTTGAATGAAATCGGATCATAATTACAAGATACATCCGCAATTTTAGAGCCGTCATTTTGTTTTCTTAACTGAAAAAAAAAAAAAATTCATGATGCATTGTCACCCGAGCTACACCTGCTAAATTTCAAATCAATCGGACGATTAGATGTGTGTCATATTTAACTTGCAAGTATTTACTTATTTCGAGTTTCAACTAGTAATTAAGCTAATTTCGAGAAATTAGTGCATTAGTTAATTTCGAGATCATTCGAGATCCAGCTAATTTCGAATTGTTAGGCGGAATTAGTGCTTATTTCGAGTTATAGAGATATCTATCGTGTTGAAATACGAAATTTGCCTGAAGTAGACTTATACGTCTTCGTACAACCCAGCCAACCATCGTATGACATCAACATCTGTGTGACAACCTTGCATAAATGCAATATCTCGTTAACACATCTTATCGATGTAGATTCGATATCAACGTCGCAACCAGGAAACTATTTAATGTGGCAGCGACTTTTTCAAACTTCATCTCTTCGACGTTAACTAAATAATTCACATTGATATCCTCATGAGATATCTTTGTGACCTGTGAGTGTGACGCAGACATGCGCAAAACGAACGCACACGCCAGACGCCATGTTGAGCTGTACATGGCCATGTCAGTCAGTCAGTCAGTGAGTGAGTCCGACTCCGTCCAGACTATTTCCTTCCAAATTCTCTGTTGAAATATCTGAGATGATTTATAGCACATATTACAGCAGCTTCAAATTGGAGGTATACAATCATTTATAGGAACGACGGTGAGTTCAATGACAATAGGTTATATTGTAATTATATCTGAGATAGGAATATTGCAATCTAAAACAAGGTGGATGAAAGATCCCAAGATAATGTAAGTGTATTTGAAATGTATCATTTATGAATAATGTATATTTGTATTGCTATATATATATATGTGTCATGTTTTACTTCAAGATTAATAATTAGGGTGATTGCCATGATAAGTTTTGTATCATCTGTTTTTACTTTCGGAAAATAAACATTTTCTTCGTAAAGTTGAATAAGTATTATTATTATATATCCCACGAATATCACAGGTACGGCGACCACATCATCGATGTCGCATTGTGATGTATTTGTAATATGAAATGTACACTTGTATGTGACCTGGTAGTGATTTTTCATGTGATGTCGCATTTCATGTCTGAACGACGTCACAGTGATGTTGCTTGATTCGGACATTTTCACATCGCCACGTTGTATCGGTAACATGTATGTGACTTCAAATGCGATATCGCATGTCACAAAGTGATGTGGCGTATACATCACTTATACATCTCATGGTTGGCTGGGAAGTCGCATAAATCTCAATAATGTATATTATGGGGATTTGATCGAATTAGGTTCTCATGTCACTAAATATTCCTTCAATTACTCGACAATTTTTAATGAACTATAATAGTGTGTAGTTCTCGTACTAACTATAATAATAATTATTCTATTATCCAACAATGAAATTCAATTTAGTCATCATTTAACGGTTATGATTTAATATTGATGACGCTAATTCGCCATATAAAATTCCGAATATAGAGAACACTATATTTATAGGACCCTTTTGAAATCATTAACCCATTCATTGGCGAACATTCCAGTAGATCCTCACGTAGATAAAGGTATGTTTATTAAGTTTAACATGATGCATAATTTAATAGAGAACCTATTAAAAAGGCTTACAAGTTCGAATATAATTTGAATATTTGAACAGGTTAATGTTTTCT